CCCCTGACTTGACTAATGAAAACCTCCCAGAACTGCTTCCTGAATCATCAGCTTGAAACATATTCAATCGACAATGGAAACCACAGCATAGCTGTGATTCCCACCCACAGAAAATGGACAGATATTTGGGGCAGTAAAAAAAGAGGATAGATTTTGAATTACTGAGTTCCACAAAGTAATTTTCTTTCAGTCATTTCCAATTTGTTACATGCAAGGCTAAGTCAAAAGTCATAGAAAGTGGTGTTAAACAAAAATATCAAAAAGTGAAGCTACTGCTTCTCGACATGCCCTCCACCTAGGTCTATGTCCTCCTGAAGATGGTGTTTCATCGCTCCAGCCTTTCCTGAATCATTCCCGCTCTTTGGTTTGTGCCCCGTCAAAATGGCAGGGTAGCATCCTTCAGGGACTCAAATTGTGTCCCTTTTAAATGCCCCTTTACATTTGAGAGTTATATGGTGAGTATGATAGTTTCCCAATGAAATTCTTGTAGGATAGCCTTTGCTACCCTGGAAGAATGAGTAGCTGCACTGTCATAATGGGGGAAAAAATCTCTCAGTACAACTGTTCCGGCATTCTTCTCACCAAGACAGTTTTCAATTTTCTTAAAATTTTTCTTAATGATAAGCCTCAATGGTCATCATTTGAGAAAAAATGTATCAAAAATAACCTTTTAGCTTCTCCCGAAAAAGTGACCAAAACTTTCTGCACTGATCTCTCTGCCTTGAATTGAATTGGCCCCGGCAGATTCCCTCAGAAGCTACTCTTTTAATTGGACCTGTGCTTTGAAGGCACTCTGCAGAGGCCAAGACAAATGTATTGTTGAGAGCACATGTCTGCAGCCACCCACTGATCCGAAAAAAGACGTGATAAACACCTTTTGTTCGGAGTCAATCTGGGCATGTATGTACCCTGGAAGCCATCCTTTTTTTGAATTACCCTCTACATATTATCAGAAGGGAAAAAATCTACTTTATGCCTACAAAGCCTTCTGCTTAACGAAAACCAATCGAATGCCACCACCACCACCACTGATCAAAAACATTTAAAAATCAGCTTTAATTCTATATCCACACTTTAGAAGATTTAGGTGGTAGACTGCTGGTCTTCTATAATGTGCAGAAATCCTTGTGTGGTGTTATCAGTGAATGCCCTCAACAGCTAACTGAAAAGTCAGAAGTTTGAGTCCTCTCATAGGCATATGAGTTAACTCGATGGCAACTGGTTTATTCTGCAAAGTCCTTTGTCACTTAAAACAATTCTAGAAAGTCTTTCTTATTTGCTCAGCCACATTCTGGATCTAAACCCACAATGTTCTGGAAAGGCAAGTCTCTCTCCCAAGGCAGTAGAGGTGTGATCTTCTCAAGTGAGTGGTATTGAGGGTCCTATCTCCAAGACTGAAACAGTGAGCCTTTCGTTGAGCCTTTAGCTGCCAATAACCCCAGTGCCTCTGGGCAGCTCCTTGCCAGGAGTGAAGGTTGCTAGGATTAAAGAACTAAAAGGGCCCGTGTGAATCACTGAAGGATACACCCCTGAGATGAACAGAGGAGCCGGCGGTGTAGCAGTTATGCACTGGGCTGCAACACCACCAGCAGCTGCGCAGGAGAAAGACTGAGCTTTCTACTACCGTCCACAGGTGCGGTCTCAGAAACCCCCAGGCGGCCACAGCGGGTCAGCCTGGACTCAATGGCCGTGAGAGAGAAAGATGCCTCTCCCTCCCTCCTGGGCAGCGAAGAGAGGGACAACACCCTCAACGGAGAGCCCTCCTCTTAACTGCCACTTCTTGACCAAACAATGGTTTTGGATCCTAATCTAGTCTACTGAGGTTTTCTTCCTGCAAATACACACGTCTGGCTGTAAGTTCATGATCTAGCTTTTGGATGCATCTCCATCTGCTGCAATGATTCTCAATTGGAAGGAGGGGAGGAAGACAGGGTGTTTTGTCCCCGGGGGGACATTTCGCAGGAAAGATGCTGGGTTGTCACCAGTGGGGGAAGAGAGTGCTTCTGGCACTTAGTAGGTCGAGGGCTGGGGTACTGCTAATCATCTCACAATGTGCAGGACAGGATGAAGCATGATCTGGTCCAACATGGCATTAATGTTGAGGCTGTGTCACCAAGCTATGGGTGCCATACTTTGGCTTCAATTTCTTTCTGGAATCATGACTTTCTATCATTGATGTACTATTTATGTTTTTGAATCCTAGGTGATTAAAGTGCTTTGTTTACTGTTTGCCCTACGCCTAATTCCACAAAATGCAATACTTAAATTTTCATGCCTGTTTCTAAATTGTACATAATTTTTAAAATACAAAATGTTTAGAATCTGTAACCTGATTCTTCATGATCAAGTAAGCAGATTGTAAGACCATATCGATCATCATCAAAATCATAATCCGGTGGTTCAGGAACCCTCACTGCGGACAGCATAGGCAGTGTGCTTTCCCCAGAGCCTGAACACCAAGTAATTATCTCAAGTAGGCCTCAGAGCTGCAGAGCAGGGAGGCCAGATGTTGGCGTGCAGAGTTAATGCAACTACCAGACTTATCTTAACATCAACCTAACAATACCCACTTTTCCTCCAAAGAACTAAAGGAAACAGGCAACTTCACACACAGAAGAGGTCTTAACTCTTAAACCTAGAAAAGCAGCTTCTCCAATCTCTTAGTTCATGCATTTGAATTAGAATCAGTATTCCCTAGGCAAAGAATTCCCAGACCAAGTTCCTCCAGGTATGTCTAGGTCACTGAGTGGCTCCCGTTGTAAAATTACGTCTGAAAACAGAAGTTGGCGTTCTCTTAGAGACTGATCACATTTTAGCATGCCCCAGCTTTGTAAGATTATTTTCATTCGGTCATCTTTTTCTTATATAACATTCTCCCTCTGGAGGTCAACAGCTACCCTCTTGCCTTCCTAATTAGCAATGCGGAATGTGGTTTAATTTTTACCAAAGATCTAAGACTTAAATATGACACTGTGAGCGCTTGGCTCTTAACACTTAAGGACTTTCCATTTGAAAACTCTGGTAATTAATTTCAAGTTTGCTGCTGGGGAGGAGAGGATTTGAAGGCAAAAAAGAAAGTTCAATTTCATAAAAAATATTGTAAAGTAAAATAGGTGAATCTCAGAAGACAGCCTACAGCTGGCAAGGAAAATGAAGGGAAAAACAAAATAAGCATTTTTTTGTTCTTTTCCACCAAAGTGTATGAATCTTCCTAAACATGTGTTGTAAGGTACTAACAAGTATTACACATGAAAGGGCTCTGGACAAGAGCTCTGTGGGACACCCAGCCCCCATGCCAGCTCCACCCCCACAGCATCATCACATCCCCTGGCAGACCAAGGCTCCTCCAGGTCTCTCAGCCCTAGGCCGTATTTCTGGAGCTTCTGGCACCACAATACCCCCATCTATTTAGTGATCTCTTTCCATTTCATTACCATTTTATTGGAGTTCATTTTAGCAGCTGATCCAAAATCCACCAATTTAATATGACCTGTCCGGTCAATAAGAATATTCTCAGGCTTGATGTCTCTGCAAGAAAACAGGCATGGATTAGTGTCGCCTTCTCATTCCAGTCCACAAGCAATCTCAATTCTGCGAGCGAGCAACCGTATTGCAGCTATGCTGCTACACAGATCTCACTATTGCAGGCACGTTTAACCAAAGAGAAACAATAACAATAAAATGTTATTGGTTTTATCTTGTCTTTTTTATTTCTCTTAGAGACGTACAACTGACATTATGGAAAAATTAGGGTCCAAAGAATCTAGAGGACTTGGTTCGAGGTCATGTCACTAGTCAACAGAAAGCTCAGACTCCATTCCAGATTTCACGGTTGCTAGCATAGCCGTCATTATATTACCACTTCCTGCTCAGATGTACATCACCCATCAGAGAACTGCAGCCTTGTGGACACCAGGGCTTCAAAGTAGGTCAGCCTGGTTCAGTCATAGCTGCTGAAACATCACTAGAATGGGCCCAAGTTTTAAAATGTGGCTATAAACTGGAACACTAACTGGACTGGGAAAAATCACAAGTCCATGCCCAGCTAGGAACTTAATCTTACTCTTAGGAAACAGGGGCAGAGTGTGTGTTGCACAGCCACCAAATCTCTTGACCAAGTGAGAGGAAAACAATAATGCTTGGCACAAAGAGGGCAGCCAACTGCACCACTTTGAAGGTGTGTTGCTCTCCACCATCCTGGCAATAATCCTAGACTTCGATCTGCAGCTGGATCCTGTCTCATTTAGCATTGCAAACTGCCAAAACTGTAAACCTTTGGGGCCTGTTGTGGCTTCACTTTGATGGTCATGGCCAAACGGGTTCAAGTTAGGTTAAAATCCTGGTAGAAACAATTACTGACTTAGAATTCTGGAGAACTCTTTGGTAAATTATGAATGGATGCAGTCAAAAGTACAGGGGCTCTAAGATCATCCGTTCCTACAAAAGGTATCAGTTCCTCCTACAGACCAATCTTTCCACCTTACCACCCACAGGACGCATGCAAAGATGCGCCTGGCTGGGCCACATTAACAGTTCTTACTAACAAACTTCACAGCACTACAGTTCTAACCCACTTCACTGTTGAAGAGGCAAGCTGACGTGTCTGCCATTCTGGAAAGCTGACATCCATCCAGTTATAGGTGAGACTGGATTGAAAATTGGATGGAACATCATTTGAGGCTGAAATCATTCATTCATTTCACTCTCGGCAGAGAGGCGTATGTGATATAGAGAAACACTACCTGTGCCCTAGAGTCTCACTTACCGATGTACATATCCCATCTGATGAACACTGTGAACAGCCAAAATCAGTTCAGCTAGGTAAAACTGAATCATATATTCATCTAATTGATCCTCATATCTGTTCAAGAGTGACAGCAAGTCCCCTCCGGGCTGGTATTCCATGACCTGCAGAGAATGCCAAACTTATTCATTTTTCACACATCCAATTAGATCCTCAAATACCGCCCGACATGTTATAATTACAATGTCTTCACAAAGCAAGGAAGACATACAACACGTACTATAAGTCATGGAGGATGGGGGTAGGGGTTTCTGCCCTAAGGAGATTACATCTGTTACCCAGAAAATCAATAATGAAAGACTGGCTCCATGCACCAGGCACAATGTTTGCAAGGAGAGCTTGAAAGGTTGAATTAAATCCACCCACTCGCCCACCCACCCAAGTTGATACCCCAGACATTCCCTAGAATCAGGTACACAGCATAGATAGAAATTCCTGGAGGGCAACAAACTCTCTTGCATCATTTATGCTTCCTCCGTCTGCCCGCCCCCCACCCCACCCCAGCACCCAGCAGAACAGAGGAGGCATGCCAGAAATGTGATACAATCTTTTCCTTTCCCTGGAAGGCAATCTGGCAGTCTCTATTAAAAATTTAAATGTGAATATATAGCCTTTGACCTAGTCATTCCACTTGTAACAAGTTATTTTACAGATAGTTAGAATAGTTTTCGGATAAACAGATTCACTGTAGCATTTTTATGACAAGGCGGGGAAAAAGGTCTGGAAATCATCCAAGTATCCATCAATAAGAGAATGGCTCAAAATAGTACCTTTCTAGCTGAGAAGGGATAGGATGCTGACATTAAAAACAAGCGCGATCTATTCATACTGCCATGGGAAGTTATCGGTTATAATAAAAAGAGGTAGGTATGACCCCCCTTTTTTTCTCTCGTCAGGAAAATAAAATTATTATAATACATATAACTATTATAATATAACTATTACTTATAATGATTATAAATACATAGGGGGGAAATTCTGGAAAAGGACTATAATGGTTCAGATAACATTTCTGATGAACAAAAACACATGGTCTGCCCTGAAGAAGAACTGGAAGCTCTCCACTCTCCGATCAACCAGAGTGATGTCACTGACTTCACACGTAGCATTGAAGCTACTCGGCCTGAGGTAGCTTCAGACACCAGCTCACAGTGTGGTTTCCCCCTCTGTGAAACGGAGAAGAGACTGTCCCTCCCTTGCAGGACTGAGTGAGGGACGGCGTGGGACAAAGTCCCCAGAGAGCCTGGCACAATGGCTGGCATGGAGGAGGCCCCCAGGTCAGTTTCTCCACTCCCCGGCCCTTTACTGTGCGCTCCTGTCGGCTCTGGATGGCAAAAAGCTGAGACCCAATTTGATCATCGCGACAAGCAGGTTAACCTTGATTGCATTCTTCTGCCTTTCATTTCAATTTCCCATTCCATTAACCACTCTGTAGGTGCTGCTTGCTTTAAGCCATCCCAAATACTTTCTGGGAAAGGAAAAATCCAAATAAACTTCTTGGTATTTTTAAAATCATTTTCTTAGGGGCTCATACAACTCTTATCACAATCCATACCTACATCAATTGTGTAAAGCACATTTGTACATTCATTGCCCTCATCATTCTCAAAATATTTGCTCTCCACCTAAGCCACTGGCATCTGCTCATTTTCCCCTCCCTCCCCACTCCCCACTCCCTCATGAACCCTTGATAATTTATAAATTATTCTTTTGTCATATCTTGCACCATCCAACATCTCCCCTCACCTACTTTTCTGTTGTCCACCCCCCAGGGAGGAGGTTATATGTAGATCTTTGTAATCAGTTCCCCCTTTCCACCCCACCTTCACTCCACCCTCCCGGTATCGCCACTCTCACCGCTGGTCCTGAAGAGATCATCCGCCCTCGATTCCCTGTGTTTCCAGTTCCTATCTGTACCAGTGTACATCCTCTGGTCTAGCCAAATTCGTAGGGTATAACTGGGATCATGATAGGGGGTGGAGGGGGGTGGAAAGCATTTAGGAACTAGAGGAAAGTTGTATGTTTCATCATTGCTACACTGCACCCTGACTGGCTCGTCTCCTCCCCGGTACCCTTCTGTAAGGAGATGTCCAATTGCCTACAGATGTGCTTTGGGTCTCCACCCTGCATTTCCCTTCATTCACAATGATATGATTTTTTGTTCTGATGATGCCTGATACCTGATCCCTTCAACACCTCGTGATCTCACAGGCTGGTGTGCTTCTTCCATGTGAGCTTTGTTGCTTCTCAGCTAGATGACCGCTTGTTTACCTTCAAGTCTTTAAAACCCCAGATGCTCTATCTTTTGATAGCCCGACACCATCAGCTTTCTTTACCACATTTGCTTATGCACCCAGCTTCTTGGCATTTAAAAAAAAAAAAAAATTTAAGTATCTCAGACTACTACATTCCAGAAGCCAATTCTGGAATGTGGTTGGCCACTGCCACTACCACCATCCAGGTACCTCTTTGGTTTCAGTCCACAATGAGGAGAAATTTCTCAACAGCGAGACTGGAATGTCAGTCCATTCTCCTTGAGACCCCAGGCTGGGCCCACAGAGTCCAGGAAGCCTATCAGTGCCAAGTCATCCTCAAGCCGGAGACCCTTGGAGGAGGAGCCAGTGGCTTACATGTCCTAGACGGGACTCTGAATAAACTAGGTGTCCATCTCATTCAATACCAACTTTCAGCAAGAGATACTAATAATTCTATTTGAAATGTAAGTTTCCATTTGCTCAAAAAAATTATTTATAAACTATTAAGAATAGCAATACTTCAGAGAGATAACTACAATGCATATTTATTTGCCTCAAACTTCCCGCAGGTGTCAGCTACTCACCCCAATCCTGCAAGAGCCCAGAAGAGCCACCTGGCTGCCTACACCATACCCACCCATCCCAACCTGGTTCTCCACAGGACCTGGGTATGTGGGTGAATACTAATATCTACGTCTGTTTTAAATATATATTGACATTAAAAATGTCTTAAGCATTCCCTAAAAAAGAAATTCACAGATAATAACAGAAGCACCCATGCTTTTAGAACGGAAATGTCTTAAAATAAGAACAATGCATATGTATGATGACACACTGAAGTTATGAATTTTCTAATCTGGTTCAATTAAAGATGTGGAAAAAATGGAGCAACTTGTAAATTTAAGGCTAAGAAAATCAAAAGTACACTTTCAAGAGCCCAGAAACTGACCATGACTTAATAATAGTCAATAACACCCCTAGAGATCCTGCCTCTAATGATCAGTGGAACAAGTCAGAAAATAAGAAACACCTCTTAAAAAGTCCAAATCCTATGTTCCCTGCTGCTACACGAAAGATTCAATGTCCTGAGCTGAAAACTTCCCATCCGAACTAAACTAGTCTTTTCTGAGTCAAGTGACTTTTCTGTTGGCTTCATCTCTCTTCAAAACCAGGCTGATTGGGAAGACAAACAACAAACATTACAATCGATGACAGCAGCATGTCCCATGACATGTGGCCAAGATGACAGACTTCTAAATAGACTGAGTCCTCATGAAAGACATTAACCAAACTTGATCCACCTACATGGACCAAGGTGGCCATTGTTAGTTGCCATCAGGTCAACTCTGACCCATGGCGACCCAAATACAAGAGAATAAAACACTGCCCACAGCACCTTCCAAATGATGGAAGTGGACCCCTGTGTCTTTCTTCCAAGACACTGCTGGGTGGGTTTGAACCACCAACCTTTGGGTAAGCAGCCAAGCGACTAAGTAGTGTAAAGATTACACAGCCAAGAAAACCCTGTGGAACAGGCAGTTCTACTCTGCCGCAGGGTGGTGCCGATGGTCAAAAAGAACTCGCCAGCACCTAACTAACAAGCTATGGAAGCGGATTGCCAGGCCTTTTTTCAGGGTTGACTTGAGGGCAAGGGATTTACGTAGCCTTCACAGATCATGCTCCACTTAGGCGGCATTCTCAAAGCCCCACTCGAGTGATTCTCAGAACGAGAGTGTAGAGCCAACGTGGCCCCCAGGTACAGCCGAATGCAGCTTCTACAATGTGGTGCCCCACCCAGCACTGGACTCTACTACAGCCAGCACTTCCGCTCCTTCGATGGCCACCGACAACAATGGGCTTCAAAGTAACCAGTCCACCTACACTGAGGCCATACACCTCTGTCTTGGCAAGCACAGGAGGAGCTTCCTTACACAGTCAACAGTTACAAGTCACCCAAGGGCAATCACCACCAAGGCCCGGTAACCAGAAGGGCAGGCACAGAGACGAGAGCCCCTCCACGAATGAGCCCTACCCTGGGCAGCATCACTGGGGAGAGCAGGAAAAGCAGGGCAGCTGACAGGCCTGGCTGTGAGCTTGAATGGACTTGCGCTTTTAAAGCAAAGACTTTCCGGCCAACAGAGACAATCCCTTCTGATGGCAGCAGCTGCAGATGCTAATTAAAGGGCACATCTTGCACGTGCTCGGTCGGGAGGAATGGCTGCTTCACTGCTAGAGTGTGCATCTATGTTCTAGGATGGTAGTTTCCATCAGCTCGGCTGTGTTTGAAATGAAGGACAAGCGTGTGCCTGTGTGCACGTACACATGTGGTGGGGAGGGTCCATGTACGCATACGTGTATGCATCTGAGGTGCATGAGCAGGGGAGTTGCAGGCCTACTTCAGTGTGCCAATCTCAGAAACAGCCTCCTGAGGGCTTGTACTCTGACCAGGAGACGCCAGAAAACCACCACGATGCTCTGGGTGTCGGCACCCACCCCGTCTGGGGTTGCTGGCCACCGGCGCCGGAGAGGAGGAAAGGAATCTTCTCCGGAGTGTGATCCCAAAAATGATCCCTCCTGAAGGACAAAGTGGCCCAGAGACAATGAGAGGAAGTCCTTTATCCTAACAAAAATACTCAACTCGCCTGATGCATCCAGCCCCTCAAGAGATCCTTATGGACCATGGGATCAGCCAGAGTCGTGCGTGGCAGGAAGCAGACAAAACATTCACACTGGGCAGCTGAGGACAGTTATTAAGGAAGCGGCTGCTTTAGGGAGATAAACAAGGAACAGCGAGGCACCTGGAGGCTTAAGGAAAGGGATCCTAGACATGTGCACAGTTACTGGCGGGG